CATCACACCTACCCATCATAACGTCGGTATCCGAGGGGCCGGGGACAATCTCGACCTCGTCATCCTTGTCCTCAACAACAGCCTTGGACTTGACAAGCTTGCGGGGACGCTGTTTCAAAATGTATCCGCGCTGCGTTAATAAAATGAGAAAAGATGAACAAAATAAGTATAAACGTGCCTTGGCTTTAGCGGCGGCCATTACCTCTGCAATCTCAGCCTGAGCCTGAGCTTGAGCAGTAACAGGTGGTGGAACGACCTGCGCAGCGGCGCGCGCGGCGAGAACGGCGCGACAATATTCTTTGATAGTGTCGAGGTCGGCTGGGGGCGCGATGGCGTGAACTCCAGTGCTGCGGGTATTGTACTCGCCTCTAACAAGGAAAAGCACGTTGTGCATTGGCTGGTGCATAAGCAGACACGGATCCTTGGTGTCGATAAGCTGAACCTAGTCAAGTGCGCAGTATTAGCCTTTGTTCGAAGAAATAGAGAATACGAAGTTTATAACAGAAAAATTCGCGACTTACACAGTAATTAGCGGCTACGCCAAGAATGGTGGGAGCGGCAGCGCTGTTCAGTCCCTCTTTCATGTCCTGATAAGTTTTGAAGGCAGTGAGAGCGGACTCGCGAAGCTTGACAGCGGCGGGAAGAGCGTTGTGTGGGATAGACATAATGAGCGAGTGGTAAAATGAGAGTGCGTGGTAGAAAAGCAAAAAACTGTTCTGTCCGAAAATTTTTCGCCACTGCCTGCTTTTATATGTGTGTCTGAGACCAAGGCGTGCGCGTTCCGAAATTCCGCGTTGCAATTTAATTGAAGCGTGAAAAACTTGGAGTTGCGCGTTCCAGCGCGATCACGTCTAAAAATAGAATAAACTTTCCGAGCCTTGGATTTCCCGCGCCACGTGACCTATGAACTTAGTCGTTTTGACTGAGGACAGTCAATATTTAGTGAGGGGGAGGGATCAAGGCTACCTTGATAGATAAAAAATTCGATTTCATGATTCACTAAAACCACCAAGGGGAAAAGAGTCATAAAAACGCGAACTAGAGACAATAAAACCCTAAGGCAGAATGAATTTGATAGAAAAATACGAAATAAAGTCGAAAATTCACAAGTTCACACTCTAGAAAGCATGCAAAAAGGCTCTCACTTAGGAACAAATCTCAAAGTTCAAGAAAGACAAAGTCAAGATTCTACTATAAGGACAGCAGAATCTAACTACAAAAAAAATAATGACACAAAAAAGGTTGATATAGAAAGTCCAAAAAACTAAGATGTCCGAATGCATGCCAAGTAAAAGAGTCCGTAAAAACAAGCGCACCTACTCCTCGTCAACAAGCTCGTCGATAACCTCCTCCTCCTCCTCCTGAGAATGGGCGGAAGGTGGAAGACCAGGCGAAGCAACGGCGATAGAAGGAATAAGGGACAGCGAGCGGACGCGGCGTTGACGAGGTGTCAGAGATGAAGGCCCAGCAATGGGAGGAGAATCGTCTCGCTGAAAAAGTGAGACGAGTCTCTCCAAATCGGCCGTCGTTGAACCCGCAGGCACTGGGACCCCCTGAGTATCTACAAAGTCTTGAACGAAGCTGTACCACGAGCCGAACTCCTCGCGAGTCTCGAAA